CTGTTCACTCTGCTGTTCTCCTGTTCACTCTGCTGTTCTCCTGTTCACTCTGCTGTTCTCCTGTTCACTCTGCTGTTCTCCTGTTCACTCTGCTGTTCTCCTGTTCACTCTGCTGTTCTCTTGTTCACTCTACTGTTCTCCTGTTCACTCTATTGTTGTCCTGTTCACTCTGTTGTTCTCCTACAGGCTGTTGAACAGAGGGCGGATGTTCGTATGGTCAAGAGAACAGGCCGCTGTTCTCCTCAGTCCTGTTGAACCGACAACAGAAGAACAGGAAGATAACAGCGCTGCTGTTCACAGTCACGGACATCAGGGAGAACAGGAGAACAGACAAACTGTTTGCTCGAGTTCAGCGAACAGTTTGTTGTCTGTTCAACAGACGTGTGATGATGAACAGTTCTTCGACGCTGTTGAACAGGAGCCAACAGTAAGTCTATTGCTTATATGGATATTTATATTTATTTTACTTATGGAAATATATTTTACATATGCAATTATATATAATATATATGCATTTAATAGTATATAAATCTGTCAATAGATAGAAAAAGTTATAAAGAAATATAGGAAAAAGATGATCTTTGAGATGGAGAGATAATATATACTAATAATTATATATTATAATATATACAAATATCCGGTGATAGCGCGACGATATTTGCTGAATTCCGGTACAGCGTGTACCTATATCATATTATAATGTATTTTATTATATTATAATATAGTATATTATTCTATATTATGTTATATTATATTGTAATTTATCACATTATATTATACTATATTAGATTATATCCTATTATTAAATCTGAAAATTTCAGTGCAACTGTGAAAGTCTCTGTAAAAAAAGGTTTTTTAAACCTCTAATTGATTGATGAGCCTTAATGTTATTCATGGAATGATATCCTGTAAATGATTTAGATTTTTATACTGGAAACATGTATTTACTGTTTATATGTCATTCTTTTTTTTATTACATTTACAATGACTCTTAGACATGGAATTTTCAATAATGATCTATTGATGATTATAATTAATGTAATAATATTAAATATAATCATATAGATAATATAATTTTAGTATTTAGTATTATTATCTGAACCATTAATAATGAAAATTTTATTTAATTAAATAATCAAATGATTAAAAGTAAACTTTCAATAATTAAATTAATCATTGTCTAGAAGAATCATTAATTTTAGTATAATTATGATATATGTAAATATATATATATATAAATATATATATTTATATATATCCAGGCACGTGCCCCGGAGGTGCCGTGGGCACGGGCACGTGTGCTGGACGTGGGTGCGGGGGACGGGCACGTGACAGACGTGCTGGCACGTGAGGCACGCGAGGTCACGTGCACGGAGGTCAGCTACGTCATGAGGGCACGCCTCAGGGCACGTGGGTACAGGTACGTACCGGGGGTACGAGGGTATCGATATTATAATATTTAAATTATAACTATTTTTGAATTAACTATTTAACTATTTTGAAATTATTATTAAATTCACAAATTTTAACTTTTAACAATTTTTTAAAAATTATTGTTAAATTCGCTAATTTTAACTTTTAACTGTTTTAAAAAATTATTATTAAATTTGCTAATTTTAACTTTTAACAATTTTTTATATTTTATAACTATATATTATTATATTCGCTATCTCATTCAGTTAATCTAATTTTGTACCTAATTTCCCTTTCCCTAATTCAAATTCTGCCTTCATTTTTTCCTTTTTTCGTTAAAAAAGTCTTTAAAAATCCCCTCCCTCCCTCCCCCCTATCGCCGTCGCGGTCCCCCACTTGCCCCCCACCGGGGACCCCCTTCGTTACCCCCGCGCCAATAATGCAATCCACATCGCATAAAAAATCAATACGCAGAACTAGTGTCACTCCGCGTTCACGCCGCACCTAATTTACAGATACATAATATCATGATTTCTGCCTTTTATTTTCATTATTCAAGCACTACGATGGCTCAAAAATGTTTTAATAAATAATTACGATTATCTGTGATTATTTTAGTAATTATAATAGGAAATAAATAAACATATTTATGCAGATGAAGAGGTTCAATATTCGTGACGTGAACGCAAGTGCAATGTTGCTGCAGTTGCCAATTGCTATTGTGGCTTGTTTATCTTAAGGCTGCGTTTAAAATGAAATACTTAGCGTGTATTGCAATGCTTTTAGTTTCAAGACTAACTTCTATTGCTTTATAATAAACAATTAAGCTAAATATGCTGCAGATATCTTGATTTTTTTAAATGAAACAACACAAAGCCTCATAAATAATTGCACATCTGGCACCCCCGTTAACGTTAATCGTTGCTTGTCAATACTCTTCTCTTGCTCACCGGAACTTAGTAAGTTACTTTACTGGTTCCAAACTATCATAAACTATTTACTAATAAATAATCATTAGTATTTTATGAATTATAATCAGAATAAAGAGATTTATTGCGGTAAAACAAAGGCAATTCATCAGCGTGTTTTTGGCACCTGCGTCTCAGTGCCGCCAGATGGACCAATGCGCGACGCGGGCATAAATTAGTTCGTCAGTGTGTCCTCGGACACGGGCGAGGGAGGAGGAGGGGTTGAGCGCGCCGCTCCCGTCCGTTTTTCAATGGAAACAAATGACGCGCGCCCCATGCAAGGGGCGCTGCTACTAAACTACCTCGCTTGCCAGAATAATGATAAGCAAAGAGCACGTGCAATAAATTTTACGCTTACGCCTATGCTAGGCCTACGTACAATATCATTGCATATACATTCATACCTCGCTGTAGCTCGGCGCATAGAAGCGGCTTTAAAAGTTGAGTAGAAATTAAACAAAAATCAAGTAGAAATCAAGCGGAAAAATTCAGTAGAGGTTAAGTAGAAGTCATGAAATATTCAAAGAAATATCTACTAAATGCAAAGCACATGTAATGTTTAGCTTAGGTACGGACGAAATATATTGAACAAACGCATTAAATATGCTTTAGTAGCTAGAGTAAAGAATTTGTCAATATTTTAATCATATTTTGTATTATTAAAATTATTTTGCATGAAATTTTAATAATATGCAATTTTATAGTTATTATTAACGATAATAATAATTAATATTTAATTTGATAATCCTATTCACCACCACACACATTCCGGCTTACCTCAATTTTCCCCCTTCTTTGTCATCCCAATTTCCACTAAAAATCTGCGACTATTTTCAATGTAATTTCTACTCTTAAATTCAATTCTGCGTTTTTTACAGTATTCAGTACGATTTTTATTAAAATATCATGGCCCCCCATAGAGGAGTGGGGGGCCATCTTTAATTCATGTTTTTCGATGCCAACGAAAAATGGCGAATTTTTGGACGCGTTCTATTTTGCATAAAGTTTTATTTATGCGAATATCTGCCTGTCAACCCTCACCAATGACAGAAGTCTAATAAAATCTACAAAATAGTTTCCCTATGAAGCTTATCTATGAATGAATTATAAACTTGAATTATTATTAACTACATGAAGTGGATTATTAAATTATAAGTGCAATAAGATAAAATAATAATATATAAGTAATACTAATATTGTTATAAAATATATATATTTCGAGTCCGCGCCCAAAAATCAGAGAACATTCCAGAGTCTCCACGGTCGCCCCAGCTTCCAATTTTCGGAGCCTGGGGAGACGCTAAATTTTGTTTCGGGGGCGCCTGCTCCTGACGTCCCTACACCCTGAAAATTAATTGGTTATAGTGTCCAAATTTTGATACACTTTCTGAACGTAGCGCCAATACGCCTGGGGCCATACTTTCAAAACTCGCTAAGTGAACGTAAGTACTTAAGCTCCATTTTCTTGTCTATGATTGGTGGATTTTGCTTGAAAGGCCGTCAATGATTGGCTGATGAACTTACGATCTCTTAACTTTTTTTGAAAGTATAGTGAACGTAAGTACTTACGCTTTATTTTCTTGTCTATGATTGGTGGATTTTGCTTGAAAGGCCGTCAATGATTGGCTGATGAACTTACGATCTCTTAACTTTTTTTGAAAGTATTGGCCCTGTTTACCGGGCAAAACTAGGTGAGGATGACCCACAGAAAGTTAGAATGCATCGTTTTTTGACATATACTCACACATTCCTCTTAGAGTAACGTTCTAGCGTTCCCTATCAAGTTCAATTTTTCCACGTCCCTACACTCAGAGTAATGAGTGGCAATTTGTCCAAATTGCCATGCACGGGTAAAACTGAGTCATAGTGACCCAGTTTCGCCTGGCAAAATATCGTATCAATGCTACGGAAGAAAGAAAGTCTGTCATTTTTTGGACAAAACGAGCCATTAATTTCCCTGTGTGCCCACGTGCCCAGGGTGCTGGACGCGCACGACAAAATCTCAGATTTTGTCTCAAAATCTCAGATTTTGAGACACTTGGACGTTTTTTAGACACTTGGGCGGCCGTAGGTGTCTCGCTTTCGGCACGGTCGATCGGAGAGGCCTTGAGACACCTAAGTGTCTCAAAACAGTGGTCAAGGTCAATTTTCTGTCAATGCAGGGTGCTTGACGCGCACGACTGGCCCGGTAACGACGACGGGACGTACGACGTCGTGACGGTCCTCAACGTCGTGGACCGTCACCCCGCCCCCCGCACCCTCCTCAGGGACGTGGGGGAGAAGCTCGCCCCAGGGGGAAGACTTGTGCTCGCTGCCGTCCTCCCCTTCTCCCCCTACGTTGAATATGGTGTGTAACTCTGTATTGCCACCCCGTATACTGTATCGTAACTCTGTATTACCACCCCATATACTGTATCGCAACTCTGTATTACCACCCCGTATACTGTATCGTAACTCGTGTATTACCACCCCATATACTGTATCGCAACTCTGTATTAACACCCCGTATACTGTATCGTAACTCTGTATTACCACCCCGTATACTGTATCTTAACTCTGTATTACCACCCCGTATACTGTATCTTAACTCTGTATTACCACCCCGTATACTGTATCGTAACTCGTGTATAACCACCCCGTATACTGTATCGTAACTCGTGTATAACCACCCCGTATACTGTATCGTAACTCGTGTATAACCACCCCGTATACTGTATCGCAACTCTGTATTACCACCCCGTATACTGTATCGCAACTCTGTATTACTACCCCGTATACTGTATCGTAACTCTGTATTACCGCCCCGTATACAAGATACGTTATCTGGACTGATGTGTCTTACTTATCCTCACTACCTTAGTCACAAATGTCTTAGTCTACCCGATCCTCAGGTAGAGCTTAATATAATGAGAACAGACAACCCTGTAACCTTCATCTTTATTATCTCTATTATTATCGTCATTATCATCAGTATAGTCATTATCATCGTTATCATCAATAAGATTCTTATCATTATCATCACTATCACCATATCATCAGATTCCTCAGATCATCTGCCGAAGGAATCCCTGAACATCTCCGGCGCATCCTTCGAGGAACAAGCGACGTCCATCATAACTGAAGTCCTGCCGAGCCTTGACTATAAAGTGAGTCAAGTTACCCACTATAAAGTGAGTCAAGTTACTCACTATAAAGTGAGTCAAGTTACCCACTATAAAGTGAGTCAAGCTGCCAGCCTCGGCTATAAAATGAGTCAAGTTACTCACTATAAAGTGAGTCAAGCTGCCCACTATAAAGTGAGTCAACTTACCCACTATAAAGTGAGTCAAGTTACCCACTATAAAGTGAGTCAAGCTGCCCAGCCTCGGCTATAAAGTGAGTATATAACTTACCCACTATAAAGTGAGTCAAGCAACCCAGCCTTGGCTATAAAGTGAGTCAAGTTACCCACTATAAAGTGAGTCAACTTACCCACTATAAAGTGAGTCAAGCTGCCCAGCTTTAGCTATAAAATGTCTATAAAATTGATTGAATATATAAATATAAAATAACGTTGTACACTCAAAGTTCGCTGTGTGTTGCAGGTCGAGCGCTGGACGAAGCTGCCGTACATGTGCGAGGGCGACTCCACTCAAAGTATTTATTGGCTCAATGACGCACTTTTTGTGGCTAGGAAATTGTGATACCCCCGGGGGTTGGGGTTGAACTTTGAGGGGTTCAATTTGAATGGGTCAATTTGTCCAAATAATTACACACTTTTTGTACGTATCACTGATACGCCTTTTTTTACACCTGGCCAAACTGAGTCAGGATGACTCATACAAGGAAAAAAGGGGTGGGGGGATGACAGTTTGTATTTATTTTCAAATAAAATGTAAATGAATCCTGAATTTTTTTACCTTATCGATCATCACATAAGTTTTAAATAAAAATAAAATATAAAGTTTTTAAAATATGAAGTTTTAAAGTATAAAACATGAAATAAAACGAACTAAAAAACATGAAGTTTTTATACACAATCAATGATACAACATTTTTTATACATAATTTTTCACATAATCTAAGATCATTAAATTTACGAGAATTTCTTCACAAATTTTATATTGTTTATCTTCATTAATTTCAGTAAGTATATATACATCAGTAATATATATTATTAGTAACATAATCTTTTCTGGTGCGTAGGCCTACGAAATTCACAGCCGTTTTAGGCCTCGTCGAGTTAAATAACATAGCAACGGACGCTGTGAAGAATAAATAAATTGCTTTTTAATATACAAAATTACCCAAATATTTAATTAGTACTTAAAACATAATCATCAGTGAGCAACAAATTAGCGAAATATTTATTGCAAGTTCAATATATGGGATTTATACCATCAAAAATTTTCTTATGGTAATTTTTTCACCGTTATTAAATTAGGATAATAAAATTAGCCTAGAAATAATAAAAAAAATTTTAGGGTAATTTAGTGTTTTACATTTCGCTTTACATTTATAATATCGTTCCTACTAATGATATTCATGAACATGAATTGTAAGCTAATCAATGAATTACGAATAATCAATGTTTATTCAAAACATCGAAAACTGAAATTTCGTTTGAAACCCCGTTTTTTTAACTATCGTCAGCGAAAACCATGATTCGATTAATTGAAGATGGAACGAGATATATATTAATAAAATTACTATTGTTGTATTTAATCGAATTTGCATTCAAGGACATTAGATGAGCAATAGCGACTTAGTGACTTTCTAATTTTCTATATATATTCTAGATTCTACAAACTGACGATGGAGCTGGGCTCCGAAACGTTTTCTATCAAGATATGAATTTTTGTGGACTATTCTTTGCTTTTAAATTTTTAGTCAACTTGCGATTTAAGCAAATAAGTGACGTTAATTCTTGGCAATAGCATTCCATAAGCGCGGGTGACCCACACGCTGTGTGTCACCCGCGCTCTTATGTAGCGCTATTGAAAAACGCTCGATTTTTACTGAGATTTCGCTCGCTTTCAACTAAATTTGATCCAAAACCGTACATCCGACAACAACGACGCTTCTGGCAACAGCGCCGCATAAGAGCGGGTGACCCGCTCTTTTGAGACGCTATTGCCAGATGCACGATTTTGGCTGAAATTTCGTTCGCTTTCTTTGTTAAGATTATTTTCCAGGAGTTAAGATAAATGTAGTTATTATGTTATAACCGAGATTATTTTCGCTTCGTAGTTTATGAAATTAATTTCTTTCTGATGGATGTTCAATTGACGACCAAGAAATATTCTTTTATTGATAATTTTCTCATGTGTGTCAGGATGACCCATACAAAAGCAGCAAGTACAACGATATTTGGACAAACTTTCACTAATTTTTTTTTTGTACGCCGTTATCAGAATAAAGGAAGCAAAGTGGGCTGATAACTTTCATTTATTCACATAAAAAATACAAGTTTCTAATAGTTTCCCCTGAGTGTAAGGAAGACGGTAATTCTACTGGAGTGAGAGGTACTGAAAATTTATTTAAATTAACTTATTTTAATTAATTAACTTCCTGCCTCTTTGAATTTTTATCGAGTGAAAAATTTATTAATGAAAAATAGCCTTCAATTTAAATTGCATTCAGGAATTAATTGATCCTACATAAACGTTAATAAATAAAATCTACTTCGCAAACTAAGATACAAAAATAATCTTGAATATAAACTATAGTAACTATATTAATCTCAACTCCTCTTATATATCAAAAATAATCTCAACAAAGAAAGGGAACAAAATCGTGCATCTGGCAACAGGCGCAGCAGCGGTGACGTCATGATGTATTGCGGTGTTGCCAGAAGCGCGATTTTGATGAAAAATGCTTTTAAAAAATGGAAAAAAATGATTTTTTTTTCATTTTCCAAAATTTAAAAATTTGTGATGAAAAATGCTTTTGATGCTTTTTAAAATTAAGTTAATGCATAAAAATCTATGCATTGTTTTCAAATTTACGTTGAATTGAATATGATAAAGAATCTTGTTCGTTTTTCCAATATAGTGGACGGTAGCATAAAAAATTGGTTTTATAGTATTTTAATATAAAAATGTTTTGAATTAATTAACTATATATAAACATTATCGAGTGGATTTTTGGATTTTGACTATTTATATTTTTGGACATTAGAGATTATATATCGAATAAATATATAATACTATTGAGCGTCGAGTGTAACCCATGTAACACATTAATTATGTGTTACATTAATGTTAATTTTATATATTAATAAATATATAAAATAAATATAATGGGGGAATAGCCTTGGTTGGCTCGGCTAATAATCAAGATCATATGAAGATTATCATCATCAATTTAATTAATTATTAATCACTTTATTTTATTTATTTATTTCATCAATTTATTTATTAATCATTAGCTTATAATGATTTAAAATTTTAAATTAATCGTTAATCACTTGATTATAGTATAGGATAATCAAACAACGACAAATCCATAACATTTAACAATAATCAACCATAGCACGAAATATAATCAGCGTCGCACAAACAAAATATTTAATCTTCCAATTAATAATCAATAATCGATACAAATAATAATAATAATAATCATTAAATAATAATCGATAGAAAAAAAACTGTCCAGATTTTCCTGCTACACTAAAAAAATATACAATAAAAAATTCCATATTGCCTTCAAAAGTCAACAAAGCTTGTTAATTTAACTAAAGTTTTTATGTAAATTAATACATTAGGTTCTATATTATTTGTTTTTATGATTATCGAGTTGATCTCCATAATTCATTGACGAATAATTGTGTTGATTATATTATGATTATTCAATTAATTAATTAATATTAATTAATATTATTAATTAATTAAATTTATCATATTAATTAATATTAATTAATTAATGATTATTTAATTAATATGATTGTTTAATTAATCAATTTACATGAAGTTTTCTTAGCCTTTAAATTTAAGATGAAATTGCATTTTAAATCAACTAAAGATATTACGAGTATAATTATACTAATAATAGTAATTTAGTAAGTAATTATGATTTTAGTAAGTAATTAGATTTAATTAATTAATTAATTATTATTTTAGTAATTTTTATGCAGATTCTTGACTCACACGAGCGTTTTGAGTTTAAATTAAAAAAATAAGTTTGTCATTTTGTCCAAATTGACACTTTCTGCTCATACGTCATTTGCCGGGCAAAACTGCGTCAGGATGACCCATATTAGGACAAACAATGCATCGATAATTAGACATATTTCCACTAATTCTTTTTAGTGAGAACAATAAATAATGAAGCTAGCGTTGACACGCCTTATAATGAATATAGTACAATATAATATACTATATTATATTATAATTTAATATATTATAATATAATATATAATATTGAATAATTCTACGCGCATGTGATGAATTTCATTTCACTTGTTCAATTTTTTTCACAGTTTATTTCAAGTCGAAATTTTTCAAATAAAATTGAAAAAAAATCCGTTGTTCAAAATATAAAAAAAATAATTCTACGTCGACGAAAACTAGAAAATATTAGCTGGAAAAATTGTGTAAATTTGATATTATCTATAGTAAAAATGAATATAATTATTAAAATACCTAATAATTGTAGCTTATAATGATATACATGACAACGTTTTTTTTCATTGTACAGACGTACGCAAAAAAATATATAATTCTGACATTTTATAACCAAATGCACAAAATTTTATGGTCAACAAGATTTTGTTAAAAGAAATTTACTGAAAAAATTTAAAATCGTGAAATTAAGTAAATTTATTTGAATGTAAATACGTTTAAATATATTTATTTAAAATAAAACAAGTAGTCACAATTTATAATAAAAAACGACATTTATGCGGTGCAAAAGATTGCGAATTTCACGATACCACGCAAAAAAAAAAAACATTTTCCCTTTTGGAAACAACGAAATTTTTCAAATGATTTTGTTGCCCCCCCCCCAAAAAAAAAAAAAGAAACGGAAAAAACGTATCCTTTTTTGAAACAACAAAATTTCCAAAGGAATTTTTTCCCACGAAAAAAAAAACAGGAAAAAACGCAAAATTTCTTTGATTTTGTTCGAAAAACACAGAAAAACGGCGACAACAGTTGGCCCGTTCCAGTAGACTGGCCCGTTTAAGTGACGACAGTCGGCCCGTCTCGGCCCGTGTATTGCTTCAACTGAGCAATATTAAGCGCAATATTGAGTAACGGGCGGAGGACGGTCTGACTGTCGGTTAAGTAACGGTCCTCTTGCCCGTCCTCGTATCTCTCGTAGCTCTCGACGTACAGTCGGACCGTCGCCCCGCTGCTGCCCGTCCCAGACAGACGGTACACGATACGGGACCCGTCCGTCATGATGACCCGTATGCCCTGCACACGGCGAAAACAGTTATGTCCGAGGTTACGCTTAAGACATTGAACTCATTATATTAAGCTCTACCTGAGGATCGGGTTACGTGACTAAGGTCGTGAGGGATAAGTAAGACACGTGTGTCTAGATAACGTATCTTGTATACGGGGTGGTAAGACAGATTTGCGATATACGGGGTAGTTAATAGTTATACAAGAGTTACGATACAGTACACGGGGTGGTAATACATTAGTACGATACAGTATACGAGGTAGCTATACATTGCGATAGAGGTATAAGGTACGGCATCGACCGAAAGGTCGGAGAACTCTACCGACACGCTACATCGCGGAGTGCTCATCAGCTACTGGGGGGTTTACTTAAGGCTGCTAGACCTTTTATAAGCTTCGTTAAGGTCTTGATCGCGTGATCGATTACGTGTCTCTGTGACACATATGATGTATGGCAAGGTCTCAGTGACATCGTGGACTCAATAGCTAACTAGGTCTGTTGGTAAACACATTAGGACTTGCTTCCGCGACCTACTCTCGGACAGTTACCCCTGCATTTAGGTTCCAATGGATATGTGGAACATGTTATAATATACATCTCTCATCTCCAACAGTGCATAGCTATCGTATACCGACCGCCTGACTGCCCGCCTGAAAAATTCAATGAAACTCTCGATATAATAGAAACAGAGGTTGCCAACTTAGGTGAACCTTCCCCAAACATTGTAGTTGCTTGAGATTTTAACCTACCACACATACGATGGCCAAACTTGGACTGTTTAGAACGGCGCAGAAATCAAACCAGAAACCAGGCAACACAACTACTTCGATTCGCTAGGGAGCACTTACTAAGCCAACAGGTTCTGGTGCCAACAAGAGAACATAATATCCTGGATCTATTCTTCACCAGCAATGAAGAACTGGTTGCTCATATTCGTGTTGAGGAGACCACACTGTCTGACCATCGACTAGTGGTGGTCAAGACAACAATTGATAGGGAAACCCAGCCAAGACCTACACCTCGAGAGGGGCTAGCTGGGCTAAATTTCCATCATCGAAGAACAGACTGGGAGGCCATTGGGAACGAACTCCTCGAAATTGACTGGAGATCTGAGTTCCTGGAATTAAACGCCGAAACAATGTACAACAAACTGTGCCAA